TCCGGGAATTTTAGAGGTATGGAAATTCCAATCCTCTCCCAAGGTAGGGATTTTTGTGTGTGTTCAGAAAATACGTCCTTCGGCACGATTGGGTTGATGTGTAGAATGGTTTTGTTCCCCCCTCACTATCAAAAATTGGAAATAGCAGAAGAGTGCGATAAACCAAAACCCACATACACGGGGAAAATAGGAGATTGGGGAGAGTCAAACTCAGAATCAGCACAGTATGGGGAAGAACGAGCTTGCAAAGGCCACACACCTCTCGAGAGCAAGTGCTGCAGCGAGAGTAATACCAACTGAACCGGCGCCAGGCCACAGGGGACGAGAATCAATGGAGTCCAATGTCTGTATTGTAAAGCAGGTCCCGCTCCATGAATTGAACAGGTTAACGTTCATACCCGGGTTAAACTGCGGCCCGGTGGAAAGGCGGGTCGGTCCGTCCATAGAGTTTCTGCCGAGAATAGGTTCTGACCCGCATGTTCACTAAATGATGCATTAGTTAATATGTGGGGTCAACCCCGAATATCTATTATTTGCTGGCTGTCCTGCGCATTCAGCGGTGGATGATGCGGTGCTTCTCCCTGCTATTGGCAGCTGAGCAGTGGAGAGGGCCGCGAGAGGAGGACGCCCAACTAAAGGGATCATAGCTGCTGTGCAGAAAGACCTCTTATCTCTCGCAGTTATCCGCGGTTCGACCAGCAGATGCTGATCGATCGGCCAGTGCTAGGCGAGGAAATCTGAAAAAGATCTTGGAAATAGGACCAGGGGCCAAGAAATGATGCTGTGTGATTATTCTTCTCGAAATTCATCGGTTTTGTCAAGGGAACATCGACATGAGACGAGAGAGATCGCACCGTCGCTTTTATGAGAGAACGCGCTAGCACTTCCTCCTAACATCGTCGGAATTTGCGTGTCAAACGATGCTGCAGGAGCAAGCAAATCCGGTGGACGCTACTCCGTACAACAATCGGGATTGTCCCCTCGATAATAATAATAATACTCAGTACTACGCATGAATCCTCACTTCGTTTCACGGGTCAATGAAAAGCTACGGGTTATTTAACGTTAGTGGTTGGATTGCTGACCGCTGGGGTGACAAGGTTTTGGGGATCAGCACTGCAGGCGAGTTGGGCTGGTTTATTGTCTATCCGTGGCCAAAAATGTGAATTTCGCGATGCCGTTCCGGGTTTCGTCAATCACACCAACCGTGCTGATAGAACTGGTGGAAAACTGCGCGTCGAACGAGGGGGCGAACAAAACCAAGGTGGTGATTGAAGCATTGAGCCCGGGGCCTTTTCTCCCAACTTCAAGGGTTGCCAGTGTCGCCACTTCTGGCCATGGATGCCAGGTCAAGGATTGCGTGGTGGGAATATTCAATAGCTGGTCACTCAAAAATAGGAATGGAACGGGCTTCAATCAATTCCAAGCGCAATCGTTTACTTGATATAGCTCCTGGTTGGCTCCCGCGAGAGAGTAACTAATCCAATCCGGCACCTAATTGCTTACGTTGTCCCTCCTCCCCCTCCAGGCAAAAATTCAAACCCTATATCAAGGAAGGCGACTGAGACAATTATCAGCCAAAGGAGGGAGGGTGCTCTACGTCCTGAATCTTTCGTGTTCTAGAAGAGGCGTGGAAAAAAGCCTGCTCCATTCTAAGCGACGACAGGCCTTGCGCTAGCGATGTCTAAGTACTGGTACTCCGTACTTGCGGAGGCGCGCCTTCTCCTTGGACCTAGGGATCCAGAGCTGCATCCGCCACCGATCCACTCAGGGCCCAAGCCACTACGGTTGATATAACAATCTGAATGGCCCAGCCTGGTGGGAGAGAAAGCCAGGGAATGGGGGGGATATGAAACAGCAAGATTGAATCGCCTTCTTGTTCCCGATACTTGCATGGTATGATGGCTTTCGATTTGGATTCACTCACTCCGCAAGTTAGCCAACACGCAACCAACCTGCATCGGTTGAAAGCTGATAATTCAATAATCATGGGCATGTCCGCCGGGCCCCAACAAGTGGTTCCAACACAGATCCCTCACGCCATTCCCCGGGTTATTTCCCCTTGATGCTTGAAATAGTATAGCCATGTTTCCGTCCCTTCGTTGGCCCGACATATATTTCCTCCCTTGAAACCTTTCCATTCTCTCCATTCTCACTCCTTTCCGTTTTCGGCGGTGTTGTATTATTATTATTGCTCAGTTACGGTGGCCACATGACCAGCTAGCTGACCTGGGCTCTATTGATTTCGATCTCGACTCTCCACCACTCACCCTCCCGCCCGTTTGGTTTCTCGCCGTCCTTGTCATCTATTACTCTTCTCTTTGCTGGAATTTGCCTTCCGTTTACTCGCCCTACGCGGGACTCTCCTGTATCTTGGGTGTTCCATTCCAGCCCGGTTCTCGTATCCTTTTTGACCTAGCCAGACTTCGCCATTCTGCTCTCTGCTGCTACTCTTTGGAGCTTCTTGTCCCAGCTACGGCACATTCATCTCTGGTCTCCGTGAGCTCCAAAACCGTGCTAAGTCCCCCTCTGTTTCAGCAGAAAGCTCCGTGCTGCTGGGTGATCGAAGCTCCCTCACAACGGCGATATCACAAACAAATAATATTATCCCTCCATCCTCCTTCACTTCAGCAGCCGTTCATTTCCCTTTTCTTTCATCTACCTTTCTCACCCCTGCCTCATTGCCGCCTTCAAAGAGCAAAACTATCCCAACCTCCCCACGGGGTCACCTGGACAATCTCACGTGAAACAAGCTCTATCCCAAACAACCACACCGAGCTTTCTACCCACTGTATTTATTTCGTTTCCTCATCCCTGTGTGACTGTATGCTGCTTGCTCTCGGCTCTGTACCGTCCACACCTTACAAATTGGCCCGTTGTATGTGTCCGGCTGTGAAATGTTCTACTCCCATCACCCATACCCATGCTGAGCCATGAAGCTCAGCTGACCGTTAACCATATCCTTCTTTCCCCGTTTGTTGTTGATTTATTTTTGCTGTTAGTGCACTTTCTTGCTGTTTGATTTTCTCTTTCGTCTTCTTCTTTTTTCCTTGATCACTCCTTTTCGCCTTTCTCCCTTCCAGAATTTTGTGTGCTGTGGCAGCTCGTTACTTTGCCTATTCCCTATTCGATGAAGAGAGTTCAGCTCCTTGACTGTAAAACCGAAAAGAAAGTGGATTTCGTTTCGGCGGGTTTTGATTTCTTAGTGGCTGGTTACAATGACAGAAGCTTTACCTAAGGGTATCGTCTTAAATTCCGAGCGCATTAGTTCCGAAATTGAAAGCTTTGGCGGTGTGGATACTCAGGATCTCGCAAAGCTATGGCGAGGTAAGGATACTTTCTTCGTTTATGCTCTTAAATAAAACAAAAGCGGAGAGGAAGAACCATATATTTATGTCCGGATTGAATACAGTGGAAGAAATTCAATGCGTGAATAAATGGAAACAGAAGACGAGCCCCTGTATACACATATATATATTCTAACATCTCAATGTGCCAGTCTACACCACCAACAGGTCTACGATGAAAGCAGATGCGGGAAGGCGGTTGGAAAATCTGTTTTGGAGAATATGGAGCAACAATTCCATTCTACGTACTATTAAAGGTACTACGCTAGCTGGCCTCTTTCTCCATATATCTGAAGGAGAAAGCATTACCGGAATGGCTCGAGGCAGACTAAGAGAAGTATGTACATTGGCCCAGATAGCTGGTATTAATTTACGAGGGAATGTCCTCTGATATTTCTAGATCCCACAATCCATACCGCGGGTCCCATCAAGACGGCGCGTGGCCCCATCCACTTCAAGCGCCCAGCCCGAGAGTCTCTCAACGGGAACTGGTTTTAAAAGTAGCCCAAACGCATCCCGGAAATCCTCGGTAAATTCAACTCGAACACCGTTGCCGCCTCCTATCTTAAAGAAGCCGCGACAATCATCCAACGACGCCCAACCAACCTCCAATTCCTCTACGGTGGGCGCGAGTGAAAATGCCAGAGGGGGCGACCCCTCTTTGTCCCCACCCCCAATAGCAGGTATTGAAGCTTCTATTGGGGAATCAGCTTTGGAGAAACCGCGGAGGAAAAAGGCTACATTTGCAACAAATGTAATTTCCATGGAAGCGGAGACGGTGTCGATGCGGAAGAAAGCCTCCCAGCTGCCTTTGGATCTCTCATCTGCAAGACATTCGCCTACCAAGTCAATCCAGGCCTTACCGGACATGTATGGTTCATCAGCGCTTCTACAGCAGAAATATCCGATATCTGATGGTAGGAAAAATCTCTCTTTTCCCTTCCTCGACATATGGAATCAATCTATCGAAGCACATCCCCACTGATATCGTACTAACTGCAAATACCCACTCTGTAGAATCCGCAATATCCATAAGCCCAACCCCTACGACCATTTTAAAGCCAAACCCCTGGCTATCCCAAACAACCCATCGACCAGGCGCAACGTCAAACCCCACATCACACCCCGCTATCATCAAATCTATTCACAAACAACAAACGCAGCAGCAGAAGCAGAGTAATAGTTCCCCCATCTCACAAAAAACGCAACCATCTACGATCTCGCTAGTAGAAAAGGACTTCCGGGCGCGATTCGTTGAAAAACGGCTACAGGAGTCGCGCAACTCGTCTTTCACCAATTTAGGAAGCTCGCTACTAACCCGGGCAGATATTAGGGGTAGTACTACAATAGCCCCTATAGCAAACACGGGCATGACGCGTTCGCAAAACCTTCAATCATCAGCCGACGCAAAACCGGTTAAGGGGCTTCATGCGGTCGACGGCCTGAGAAAGATCCAGACAGGAGGATCTTCTGGACAGAAGAAGCGTCCATCTCAGGACAATTACAATGGTTCTAAAGGTGTGGTTGAGCATGTATATGCGGAGGGCGGGAACGATGAAGGGGATTGGGAGGATATCGATAGCGATGATGATCGCTCCAACACAATTTTCCCATCACAGCCACAGCCGCAGTCGCCATTTCAGCAAGGAGGAGTTTCTGCATCCAGACCATCTCTAAGTCAACAGCAGAGCCAGTTAAGCAAGTTGATCGAGCAGGAAAGGAAGTTAAGTGCGACGATGCAGAAAAATGGGAAACACGAGTGAAAAATAGAGAGTGCAAAAGACGGGGGTGATTTGTGCATATTACATTTTTTTTCTCTTTTCACTTGACGGTGACCCCACGGCAAGAATGCGCAAGAAAGGAGGGATTCACCCTTGCGCAGAATAGTTCTTGCTCCTCAGCGGGCCCATGTTCTGTACATGTACCACCTATACCTACAATGCAGTTTCCTCCCTCCCGCGATGAGACCCCTCCATTCCCCCAATTTAACAAAGAGTGAATTAAATGAAAATGAAATTCTATTTTCATGAGCTTCGAACGGGAGAAAATTGAGGATTGGTCATAGAGTCGGCGCAGGACCTAGTTCCACCTCGACTAGCTCCACGCAAGCAGTTGGAAATCCTGCAACCTAATATATATATACCCCACCCCTTCCTTACATATGCGATGGTTACCATCTATCTTTTCTGTATATACCCTACTCGATACCCCCTAAGTTAGAAGGCAAAAAAATTATATATATAAACTCCCGCACACGCCAGCACCTTGAGTACAGAGTACAGAGAACCATATACATAGTGCCTGACCCCATCTATTCTACCCCCCCGACTATGTGGCGCTTTTTTCCCTACTCTCCCTTCTTGTATTCTCTTAGCCGTGATGGGCAAAATAAATACAAGTAAGATCGCGCATACTCCTCCCATCCCATTACTTCATTGAGCTATCCCTTTGGTACTATTTTTATTTATTTTTAGCCCGTGTAAATACTACATACCGCGCCATCCAGCCAGCAGTGAGCGAGGCCTTGATGAAGATGGATGAAATGGCAAAGGTGAGCAGAGATAAAAAACCAATATATTTATTAATTACCGTTCTTAAATCGAGATGACAAGCTTCCTCCCTTCCTTCCCTTCAATGCACGCGCACCAATCAATCGGATGACGGGGGCCTGCTGAAGGCCCAACTTACATACACACACACACACACACATGACCTATTGACGTTTCCTGGTCAGATGGTGACAATGTAGTATTTTCTGCGATTGACTGGGATGAATGGACTGTGCTAAATGCATCCGGGGTTGTGGGGGGTTGGGTTGGGGAGGGCAGGGGTGCCGATTTTTTATCATCATACCCTTGAAATAGCGAGAGAGAGTCATGGATGATACATAACATCCCCCCCATCTGTCCCGCAGTATTGTTTGAAAGACTCAAAACCAAACCGGTCATTAATTTTTTTTTTTTTTTTTTTTTTTGGCGGGCAGAGCTATTCGTGTCAACTGGTGCATAATATGATAATAAAATGGACGGGAACCACGGCAAAAAGCCAACTTCATACAAACTTACTACTATGTAGTCGGTATTACTACAGCAAACAATCCAGATGCAAACAAGATATAAAAGTTCATGGGAAAGGGAACAAATAAAGGAAAAAATAAGAGAGACAAATAAATAAAGGATGGAAAATGAAAGGGGGGAAAAAATATGTATACCAATAGGCCTAGCTAATCCCCTGCACGCCCGTTATTATGCAGATAATCAAGAAGACAAAGTTTTAAGAGGAATTAAAGGGGGGAAAAGGGTGGAGCGTGCTGTTAGCAGCAGTTCAAATCCAGTCGAATCCAAACCCAAAGAACCCAGACTCAGAGCCCACAAAAATCAAAAAAAAAAAAAAAAAAAAAAAAAAAAAAAAAAAAAACCAAAAGGAAAATAAAAAAAGGAAGGGGGTGAGCAACTACCCTTAAACCTCACCCATCTCACTCCCCTTCTCCGCCTGTCTCCGGCCCTTCCCAAACTTCCACCACCTGGCTCCCGCCCACGCCGCTGTGGCAGCCCACAGCACCAAATGGGCCAAATCCACCCAAACCGAATGTTTCATACGGATGGTGTCCACGTCCCTTTCCGCTGCGTGCTTGGTCATGTACATTTTGCCAAAAATGCCGAAAAGCGTCAGCCAAAGGATGCTGACGATGCTGTCGTAAACCAAGGTGGGCAGGTTAACACTGGGGAGGAGGGAAAAGGCAGGCATGGCGAGGGGAATGGTGAAGTACATGACTGCGGAAAGGGAGGAGATAGTGCCCAGGCAGGTGGCGTAGGTCTGTTTTATATTAATTTAGTTTAACGGAATGATTTTCAGGTAAATTAAATATGGAGAGATAGGGTTGATAAAGACAGAACGGGAGTGCAAAAGACATACCCCATTTGGGGTCAAATCCGCCAGTGTCCTTGCGCTGCCTGATGAGATCTTGCGCGTACAGGCCGATGTTCTGCGATGCCGAAAACAAACTGTAGGAAACGGAGCGAGCATTCTACAACTGTGCTGACAGTGGAGCCGACACTGTATCGCTTTCGGACGCCGTCGACGATGAGAGCTTTGATGCCCATGGTTATAAGACCGTGCAGTTGATGTGGTTCTTCGGGTGGTTTCTTTTGGATAGTGGCCTGATAGATAGGTAGATATCTATACAGTTTGACCTGGTACGTATTGGAGGGGTTTACAATAAAAACACTAGAGTTCCCTGCTTTGTACAGAATGTGGGCGTTCAATTGCCTGGGTGAATGTCCCTATTGACACTTCGGGAATCCCTTCAATAGACAGGATGTTCTGCACGGAAATAGAATACGGTAGCTATTGTTTCCGGATCTGCACCTCAGTGAAGAACCCACTGTTGTTGTATGGACGAAAGCACCTTCGCGGGTATGCAGCTAGGTATGTTTGTATGTTGTGGCCGTTTGCGATATTATTAGGGGTTGTTTGGTTTCGTGGAGCCAGTTAAGGTGCACAGCACTGTATTCGTTTCTTGACTTGGTTGGATATTAGACGCCCTTTTTGTTTTCAACAGGCGATTTATTCAATGTCCAGCAATTTTGCAAGAAAAGGAAATGGAGGAGGGAAAAGAGAAAAAGGCCCAGGCGCAGAAGAGTTGTACACAGTACAAACTGGGCAGACCGAGAGAATGCGATATATAGCAAGGAACAGAGTGAAGGAAAGCGGTAGCCAGGCGGGAAAGGAACGGGAAAGAGAAAGAGAGAAGGAAAGAGAAAAGGAAAAAAGGAAGAAGAACAAAGGCAAATATCCGATACAATGGTGATCACTCCTGCAAGAAACAAAGCCAATATGGATTCCAGCAGAAGCGGGAGCCATTATATATATATTATGTTTTGAATAAGCCAGTTCCAGCAAGTTGCAAGATGCCAGGGACTTGGAACTCTGCTGCGAGCCAGAGCGGCTTCCTTCCCATCATGTAACACAGCATCTTTGAAGAAGAACAAAGATAGGTAGATCTGGCACCGGAGCGTGTAACAATAGACAGGCTCCTGGTCGAATCATTCTTTGGCAAGAGTCCCTAAAGGGTAAACCCAAGTAGAGAAAAAAAAAAAAAATAAAATGAAACCTCGTTCCTCGACTCGTGTCTAACAATAGACAAAAGGGATATGGTCTAACATGAAACAGACCACCCCCAGTCCTGCCACTGAGGGACAACCCGGCAGATCGCAGATGCTCAAGAAAGAACAAGAGCTGTTTGTGATCGCGGGGTGGAACAAGGCATCGGTTGGCTGGGAGCTGCAGATGGGGAAGCTTAGCGGTTCAGTTAGCGGTTTGATTCAAGTTGTTACTCTGTACTTTGTAGCGCCGCCGGGGTCAGGGATACATCTCGCAGCGACACGGTGGATACAAGCGCCGTTGCTGGCGGCTAACGATGCTCCAGAGTCCTCAGAAAAGAAACAAGAAGAAGTTGAGGTACTGAAGAGACACCATTTGCGGTGTAATCTATTGGCTCGCAGAGGCCTGCCCTGCCCTTCATGAAACAAATATATGTAACTCGAGTAACGCTACTCCGTACTCAATTCCTATCCTATCCTTTGACAATCGGCCGAAGCAAGCGGGTATTTTCCTGTCGAGCAGCGATTCGCCCGCTTTACTTTCTTCTGTTTACCTTGTTCAACATCTTTTTCGGCTCGACAACGTTAACCCGTATGCATGTACTATTTATAACCTCCCTACAAATTCTTGTCAAGCAAAGAGTAATACCATACCCACAACCATACTTGTACTTCGCCCAATTCTACCCCTAATTCACAAGATGAGGAAATAAAGAAACGCCGGAGAATGCCTGTTCGTTTGAGTTCGCAGATAGTCTTTTTTTTTTTTTTTTTTTTTTTTTTTTTTTTCCCTCTTCTTTCCTTTCCCCTTTGGCTGTGGTCTCCAGATTCCCGTTTGCCATATACATATCCATCCAACGACTAATGTCACTGATGAACCTCGCCGGTTCATAACCCATGACTTCCAGTTTGCGTAACAGCTGGCGCCGGCTAAGACCACGAGCAGTCAGCGGACTCCGTGTTATATGCTTTTATTATTCCTATCCGATGTTTACTCATCCAGCTGTCCCTTAATTCATTCATCCAGACACCTATAGCCGAACAAAACAAGGAAAAAAAAAAAAAAAAAAAAAAAAAAAAAAGGGCTGACCTCGGTCCCAAAAGGGAGAAATTTTGAAAAGAGAAAGAGATGATGGTCAAAAATATCCTGCTTCCAGTCCTTTTTTTTTTCTTGGATGGGACATTCCGGACAAAGGAGACTCCGGGGAGGTGAGAGGTGCTGTGACAAAATTGTATAATCGAGCATGTTACTTAAATGGAAGCGCATACTCTGCTCGTTTTGTGTCGCCAAAAAAATATCGGAGTAGTCAATCAATTGCTCAAGCGTAACAAAAGAGGGCAAGAACGGAAAAAAAAATCAAAGGAAGTACAATATTTGCATATGGTACCTGTATTGGCTGATAAATGTATAAATAAATACTCCTGTTGTGCGTGCGTGCGTGCGTGTACCTTCAAGATACCTACAAGAGTATATAGAAATGGGTTGCGCCAAACCAAAGAAGTACCAACGTTCCAAAAGGTGGGTGACGGGAAAGGGAAGCGGGGGAAAAAACACGATGAGTGTTATTTAGTTAGGGACGGGGGACGGCGGCCAAAATGCTATGCAAGAGGAAGGGAGAAGTTGGTCCAGACTAAAAGAAAAGAAAGGAAAGGAAAAGGGGATTCGTACGTAAATGAAGAAATGATCTAAGCAGTAAGAAGAAAAAATGATGATAAAATGATTTGAGCGGGGAGCTTCATTCCATACAAGAGAGACAAATTGCGTTGGTTCTGTGCATGGATTCTGTGCATGGGGGGAAGTGGAAAGAGGAAGAAAATAATAGTAAAAAAGACAACAAGAGCAGAAAGGGTAACTCTTTGAAGTTATCTATGAGGAACGAATAATAGGAAATATAACAAAAAAAGGACAAAGGTGTCCCCCAGAAGAAGAATGGGGAGGGATGGTGATAGGGACGGGACAATGTGGCGCAGCAGACAACGTGGTCGCTCTGGAGGTTTTTCGGAAGAGCAGGAGAAAGAGGGAGAGGAAACAGAAGGGATGATGTTGGCACTTGAAGGTATCAATTGGGGCCGCTCTCGTCCAAAAAAGTATCCATGCAGGACATCTGCGCATGTCTAGTGATGCCACGCCACACCGTGGG